AGCATGTTCTCCTCAGCCCATCATAGCGCAAGAGAAGGTTGCAAAAATAAAACTTCTTAAACATTTTTGAAGCTTTCCGAGACTCTACGATAAAAGAGATCGAGGCGGTGTGAAACAGAATGGAAGGGAAGGTGTAAGAATTTATTACGGACTTCAGAGCGAACCCACACACTAGAAGCAAAAGGTGTTCGTTAAAATTTTGTACCTTTCGATTAATCGATGGATGCCCTCAGCGGTGAAAAAGGCGTTCGTCCTGAAGATGGATTCATATTGTTTTGTGATTTTTACACATTCCTTAAAAATTTCTAGTTTTCGAGGTACTAGAGGTATGAACAAGCTTTGGCTTCATTTTTCGTTTACTCTCTTTACCACTGTCATAACTGTGAACTTTCATTAATTCGTTTTAAATGAAAAAACAAAACAAATTTTGCAATCCTTTCTTAAATTATGTTGATTTTCATGGCAGCATTTATACTTCTCCATTTTCTTCATAATAACTGTCAATGTTTACAATCGTGGATCCAACAATGACTTAATTTTCCTTTCCATCTTCCAGTGAGTTGTTTAGGAAAGCTCCCGGTTCTTTCATTTTATGAGGAATCAAAGTCAATGCGGTATCAACTTCACCATCCTCCTTTAGCTCTTTAGATAATTTTTTGTTGACCTGTTTCGGCCAGAGTCCTGCCATCCAAACATTTTCCTACCTGCTTTCAAAAAGCGAACTTTCTATTTTTGTTTCTCAAACAACCACTTCCACTGGAAACAGTAGAGGTACACGGAAAATTACTCTCGCGAGTAATTTGCTTGCCTGTATCTTGGTATTCATTCTCTGCGGGGTCAAAAGAGCCCTTTCGAGCCTCCTTAAAATAAACATAAGCATGCTACCAATGCAGGAGTTATTTTTTTGGATATGTAAGTTGAAATGGGACACTGAGTAACTGATACTGGTTTCTGAATAACTGTTGGCAATAATAAACTGCAATGGTACCACGCCTCCTGCAGTCCCCTCCACAATCCTAATTTGAACTCGTTACACAACGCTCTCTCTCCAAAGTTGCGTGACAAGACCAAACAACGACCTGCTTGTAGGCTATAATAATGCCTACTGCCGCCTTTTCGTCAGAGATGAAGTCGTAATTATTATTCTGGCCGTAAAGGGCCAGAATCAGTAATTCCGTTTGGTTTTTCCTGTGCAAGAAAATGCCCAATAGGTCTTACGTAGCACTTTTTAATTGGTGTAAAGCAATATGGTGGACAAGGTTCAATTTTGGCTTCGAGTGTCAGTCAGGATTGAAGTGCTAGGCCAATAACCAGGCTTGTTACAGTTAAAACTTATCTTTCGAGTGAACTTGAATATCTTTATTTAAAGCACAAACCTAATATTGTGAATCACTTCTACTGTTATCGTAGTGAGGAAAACAAAAAACCTTGGGAACAATAAAAATTCATTGGCTGATCGTTTAAATTCGATTAATTAATACAATTATCTTATGTAGACATTTGCGATTGGACCCATCAGTAGAAAAATATAGCGGACGAAAGAACTATATTTTTCTGACAGAAAAAAACTTGTGGAAGTCACTACCACCTTCCTCTAATTTCTCTCAGTCAAGAAAACTTGCGGTCCATATAAATATATCGTTTCGAGGCAAAAAAACTTCAGAGGTTTGTTATTAGATGTAAGCAGGAGAATTCCTTGTAAACAGTCATCGCGTTCAAATGCAAATTTTTATTGAGCGACGTTGCATTTTTCTAGCGATTTTAGTATTTCCAAATTGTCCTGGATGGCAGCTATGGCGCGTTTTTAGTGTCAAAATTCAAATCCTCGTGTCAGACTTGCTAGTTTTCTATTCAAACTTCTTGTTTGACAATTCAGAGACGCTATTTGTTTACTAAACATCCATTGTTTCAATTCAAAGCAATATTTCTTCGATTCAGTCATGCTGTTTTTCTATTCAAACGTGCAATCCTTCGTTTTAAAAATGTTTTTCTACCACCCAAACATTCAGTCGTCTAATTCAAACATGCTATTGTGCATTTCAAATTTTCAATCTCGCAATTCAAAATAGTCAGTTCCGCAAGTAAAAATGCTATCTTTCTATTCCAATATGCAATTCCTTACCGCAAAACTGCAACTTGTCAATTCAAATACACTATTCGCCAGTTCAAACAGGCTTTTTGTCGACAGAAATACGCAATCCTTCATTTTGAAACAATCGTTCTGCAATTCAAACACTCTACTCTTCAATTCAAACCGGCAATTCTTCCATTCCAACGCTTAATCTTTTAGGTCAGATCTGCTGTTCGACTATGGAGACATCTAGTTGTTTAATTTGGTAACCCTATTCATCACTTCAAATATTCGAACTTCTTTTCCAAACATTCAGTTATTCAATGCGAATATGATACTCGTCCTTTCCGATACACAATCCTTCAATTCAAACATTCAAACCTTCAACGCAAACACGCTGTCCTTCGTCTTCACCTGGAAACTAGCCCGGCCACGCATGCTTATTGGGAAGAAAGGCGAGAAAAGAGAATACGACCCTTATAGCAGGAACGGTGGAACGGTAGAAAGGTAGATTGGCGGTAAATGATCCCAACTCCTAAAACATGGAGCGGCGGAAAATGGCCCCAAATCCTAAAACACAGAACGGATGTCAGGGCATGTTGCGCGAATTTTGTACATAGACACTCAAGCGCTTGGCTTATTCATCCCCACGACGATAACGCGCGTGACCAAAATTAAGTGTTATTATCAATTTTTTTTCTTTTGCTGAGTGGTATGAATAATAATGAACTATTACACATGAAAGATAGCTGCGTTTTCGCGTTGTAAACCTGTTTAGTTACCTTTTGTTATGCTAAATTTGCCATGAGTTTTAGTCGCGGCATAAAAAGTTGCACAGCATGTGCCACTGGCATTAGAAAATGTGTTGCGTATGGCTTTCATAACGCACGCTGGAATCACTCTCCTATTTTTGTGCCCCAAGACGCCGTGGACCCACCAGGTAAACTGGCATTAAGCTGTCAGGCGCACGTTCTATAAAGGAAAGGTAAACACACATGAATAAAAAGGAAAGAAACGAAAACCTCGATGGTAAAAGGAAGGTACAAGTAGTTACCAGAAAGCGGTGGTAAATAAAATAGGGATGAAAGACTTTTGTAAAAGATAATAATGGAAACTGACCCGTTCTCGATGTGGTCCGGGATAGGATTACATCGTGCGTTGTGAATACTGATAAGTGCCGTACACAACACACCAGTATCGAGGCAAACAATCCTAAATTTGGAGTGCTTAGTTATACAAGGAACTCCTGATGATAAAGGAAATACAAAATGAGGTAAGCTACGGGAGTAAAAGTCTGACTTACAAAGTTGTTACACTGAACTAATGAAATGAAGTGAACAAGAAAAGCTTCACCGAGTAACATGGCACATCAGGTAAGGAATAGTCCATTTAAATACAGTTGTGTGCTTGGTTGCCAAGCCTTTGAATGGGGCTGAGGGTGACCTTGTTATGATACGAACCTTGCTGCCTTTCAAATGTAAATCACTTTGTTATCATGCTAACAAGATACAGGTCTCTATCATGACAAGGTCTCCTTCAGCCTCACTCCAAATCAAAGGCTTGGCAACTAAGTACACAACTGTAAAATGGCTAAGTTGTTTCACTGAAATCATGAAAATGAAGTACACAAGAGAAGCTCAACCGATCTACACAGTACATATAGTAAACACTGCTTGCGCTTTAATACGAAAAAATAAATATTCAATCGGAAACATACCTGATTCATCAAACTTCTGATTCAACTCCTCAAGTTCTTGACAACAAAAACATTCGTCGGCCGTGCGCATAGCCTTGCAATGACCGCCGCAAAGACACCATTCTGCGTTTCCAATCCTCGAAGAATAATCGATCGGAACTTTTGCTTAATTTCTTCGCCTGAGCCGACTGGTTCTTCACCAGGATCATACATCGGCTCGAACTGAAAAGGCTGCACACTACTCATATTTGGGAAATGAAGGGCGAAATGCGCTTAGCTTTGTACTTTAATATGAGGCCTTCTCAAGCTGGTTCCCCACTGACTTCATAAACGACAACTGCTAATTATTTTGAGCCGACGGTCTTACAGGCGCAAAAGCGGGAAAAAGGCAACTTCAAATCGAATTTTCTCGTAAAAAAAAAAGGAAGTGAACGAAAATGAATATCGCCACTTTATCTTACTCCTCTAAAGCTAACTAGGAATGAATGCAAAACAAATACCAATTTTAGGCTTCAGTTTCCCTTTAACGCTCAATTAGTTAATTTGGTTAGGGCCTGTTTACTGGGCCCGCACTAATTGGCGTAAGCTGTTGCGGAGTCCCTGCCTGTCGGCGAAACTAATAAATTAAATTAACTGACGACCTAAGATCATCTAATTATGGTATATCCATGATATTATATATTATATCCAACAAGTTGTTAATCTTGTTAGAAAGATTACACGTGAAAAGAGAAACATCAACCTTCTCTGCTGATTTATACATTTTTAACCATGACACGATGTAATGTTTATCGCACCCGAATAAAGGTCTACTTTCAGCCATAGAAAAATAATTCATAGGACGCCTGCATAAAAGTAACAGTTGTCAAACGTATTCCAATAGAAAATGAGAGAATAAATAAAGTTCCTTAAATTTCCCAAATCAATTATATTTTTGGCGCATTTACAAAGTGGTATATCCACATACACAAATAAAACCAAATATTAATAGAGGAGAATGGAAAGGAAATGATGGAAAGGTATCCTCAGCATTTTGTCGAAAACTATGACTCGACTTAAAATAAAAACATTAATTTACAAATCATGGAATCAGGGTGGGAGGTTCTCCAAGTAGACCAGTGTAGATGATTGATGGTCCGTTTTCTCTTATAGATTGTATTTCACCAGTCGGTATGGAGAGTGGATTGATCTCCGATGGTCAAATCAGTGCATGATCACAACTGGATGATAATCATGGCCCACAGCGTGCCAGACTGAATGCCAAGATAAGTGGAATAAAACAAGGCGGTTGGCTTCCTCCAACAAATGACCGTGATCAATGGCTTCAGGTGGATCTTGGTAGTTACAATCGAGTAACACGAGTGGCAACTCAAGGGAGGGATGGCTATGACCAGTGGGTGACTTCTTTTGAGTTACAATACAGTATTAACGAAATCACTTTCAAGTCTTACAAGGTTGTTGGAAGCATTCCCAAGGTACGCAGCCTCAACTAAATCAATGTAGAGCTGTCCTGAGAATTATTGGCATCATTAAAAACTTCAGACATAAATTTGAACAAAATATTTCATAGCTTTGTAAATAGTTGTTTGTACATGCAATCAGGCTGAAAGCAGTCTTAGGAAAGAAAAAAGAGCACTTGAAGCAGTGTTAATTTTTTCGATTGAAGTGTAACAAAATTGGAAAGTAGGTTTCTGACCCAATGAGAACAAAGATTATGGTACATTGTAGATCTCAAGGCCAGGTTTCCAGTTAAAGAACTTCTCTAACAAGCGAGTATTTTCTTGAGCCATACAAGTCTCTATAAGCGTGTATCGTTCAAATATATCATAAAAGGCAAACGCATAACTCTATTCTTTTACTTGAAAATATTGAAAGGCCGCAGCCAGGATGAAACATAGTTGAAATTTAAAAACGATCTCTGGTGAAAATGTTTAAAAACTACGAGCTTTCGACTGCCGGAACTGCAATCTTCGACGGATTAAACGAATGACAAACAAGCGATGAGAGAATTTAAATAAAGGCAGGAACTTCGAAATAATGAGAATGTAATTGATTTTGAATATATGTTAAAAAAGAATGCGGCTAAAGGTTCTAGAATTGCTAATCACGCCTGGTCCAACAACCACGCCACTGATTTTGAAATGCGTCAATTATTGACAAAGGTTCTTTTAGAACCAGAAAAACCGTGGCATACCAGAATGACACCTAACGCAGATAACAATTCTTGCCCGTTACCTGAACAATTCAACATTCTTTTTAACAAATATTCATAATCATTTACATTCTCATTATTTCGCAGTTCAAGTCTTTATTTAAAGTCTCTCATCGCTTGCTTATCATTCATTTTACCCGTCGAAGACTACAGTTCGGGCAGTCGAAAGCTCGTAGTTTTTAATCATTTTTGCCAGAGATCGTTTTTGAATTTCAACTATCTTTTCTTTTATTGTTAATCGTTTTGCTTTCTGTGCTTTTCTTGCATAGAGATTTACTGGAAACAGCGATAGTGAAACTACTGTTTACAATATTCTCAAACCGCAAATCACAGCACGATACTTAAGGATCTTACCCATAGCGTGGCATACAAACATAGCTATGAGAATAGAGATCTAAGGTTGTACAGGTAACGTTTCAACTGTAACAAAAATAGGGATGTCCTTTTACATACCTTCTTACCGTTAAATAAAAATTTATTTTAATGTAAAAGGATAGTTAGCACAAAGCTAAGAAAACAAGTGCAACATCTCCCGAGAAACTTATAGTCTGATATAAAGCGGATTCGCATCGGTAAATAAATTACAGCAAACACGCTCAATGTAATGATATTTACTTAATCTTTTTCTTGGAAGTGCACGTCATTTTCACCATCCTTCCCATTCTATTCACCCACAAGACACTACTGACATCTCTAATGCTAGTAGCTGCAACATGCGGGACAAGTGTCATTATGAACCTAATAATAGCCTACCTCACCATAGTGTTCTTTAGCTTCGTAACACAGCCTCGGTGCGAAATGTTTGAGGTTCTAGGACTCGATTCTTCGAAGTGGACCTAACTTCTCATTTCCTTGCACCAAACGAGACGAATGACATCTCTCTCAATAAATTTACGTTCACTAATTTCAGTGTGTAGCACACCTCTTGGAATGGAAAGTGGAGCAATCAAGGATTCACAAATAACCGCCTCTACACAGTGGGGTGACAATCATGCCACATCAAGGGCCAGGCTGAATTTAAAATTTACTGGAGTAAAGAGAGGAGCCTGGTCATCTCGTGTACTGGATCTTAAACAGTGGCTTCAGGTTGATCTTGGCAGCTATACCACTGTGACTGGTGTCGCAACTCAGGGGAGGAATGGATATCGGCCAGGGCAGTGGGTGACCAAGTACAGGTTGCAATACAGTAATGATGGAGTGAACTTCCATTTCTACAAAGAAAAAGACGACAACTCATTCAAGGTATTTTCAGTCTTATTACTTGCTGCTGATTTTCGGTAACAGGGGTAGGTAATAGCAAGTGCGAAAGCGAGCCACGGTTATGATATTGTAGAATTTCTACCGTTGGAAATAAGTTAATTGGAAATTCTAATTACAATTAATTTTCCGGAAGCGACAAACCGCGTTGATCATTACTGAAACCTCCGAAAAGGGAAAAAACGATTGAACTTGGGAAAATAACGGAAGTAGCGTTAAGGGATCAAAAAACGGTCTCGAGTAGTTTGCTCATCACTCAGAAAAGAATCAGCCGCCAACCCTAGAAATCGGGGTGAACCATGGAAGCAAGGTTGAAATTTGACGATCCAACCAATTTTAAAGTGTCAGAGACGGGAAAAACATCGGCAAAATAAATTCTGGATTGTAATACAGTTCAGATTCGTAGCCAGTTAAGCTTTCGCTTGTGTTAGAGTCGATCGAAGTAAACAACATTCATCTTCTGAAGAATCATCTGTTGTAGAAGACTCCTCGGTTCTTAAGTGCGGTTCAATGATACCCCCTCCACTCCTCGTGTTTATGTGAGAGTATGTAAACACGGACAAAGTTCCCTCTTGCTTTTATAAAATGTTTTTCTCCAATAACACGACAAATGCTATTTGTTTACTTCTTGATTGATATAGATTTTCTCAATACATGCATCCGACGATATCATTTCCAACTAGCCAATCAAATCGTGCATCTGGAAACACTTAAACCGATCAAAATTTGCGTTATAGAAATGAAAGTGAAATTGAAGTTCGTAGCAAGCGCCGGCACCGGGTTTTGACAGAAAAATTCTGTTTAGAGTATACGATCCCTTGGGGAGGAGGACGAGGAGATGTTTGATCAAGCTGAAGATGAATGAATTTAGCAGCCGAAAAACATGGTTTAGAAGCTGAATCGCTTATCGTGCTTTGTGAAGTTCTGCTAGATAATAAAAAAGTTTTGCTGTCCCATTCTGAATGGGATAGCTGTTTTTTACGGCGAGACCGTCTCTGAGAAAATTACATTTTTGGAAAAAATTGAAAGCCAAAATAAGGCAACCGATCAGATGAGCGATGTTTGTTTTGAGGAAACGCACTCTGTAGAATATATATATATATATATATATATATATATATATTTAGTATAATTTCGGAGCCGAGCAAAGAGTTTCCAGCAATCTGATAGGTCGAGCGGTTCCTTATATGACGCTATATAAACCGCTCCGCGCGGTTTATATAAAATGTTAAAGCAAAATGTTAATAAATGTTACTAAAATGTTTTGATTTTAGAAATTTCTCTGTTGTTCAGCTCTGAATTATACTAAAACAGTTATTCGCCTCAGGTTCGGTGAATATTGTCGAATAATCCCCTCGACTTCGTCTCGGGGATTATTCAATGATATTCACCTCGCCTTCGGCGAATAATTGTTAAATATATGTTATTCACCAACCGGGAGGTCCGTATGGGGAAAAACTTTGTCCGAGGTCTTGGATACCGCCTGAGGCCGTTCGCCAAGAGCGGTACTCAAGACAGAGCCTACCTCTGCTGATGAGAACATTTTAATTTTTTTCTAACATATAACTAAATGATTGCCAAAAGAACCGGAATGATTTAGAGCTACATTCACGAGTAAATTACGGGAAAATCCTCCATAAACATAACAGTTTTTTAAGGGAGTGGATCGATGATAAAGAAAACAGACGTTATTCATATTAAAGAGAAAGCTTTCTCTGAAACATTTTTATTTGTAAACTTACGGTAACTCAAAAGGCTTCTGAGCAAATTTTGAAACATTTTTTGATAAGTATCTGTCACGATGTGATACCTGTCAATTGAAGAGGATTAAAGTGCATGTACGCTTTTCAACAAGCAATAGTACTGGTATGATAAACACACGAGTCAAATGACCGTGCGACGATCTTCTCGTAAAAAAGGGCACTCAGAGATCTTACAGAAAGTATTGTTTATTTCCAACGACGATTAACTGAAGAACGTGTCTCTGTAAGGATCAAACATCTAGGGAAATGATGATTTTCAACCCCCCTTCAAATTTTGCATACACCTTAGGCACTCAGAGGGGATGCACAAAAATGCCCTTTTAAAGGTTGCAGCACTCTTGTTGCCATGGTAACAAGGACTGCTTGTTCGAGGCCTGGAGCCTCATTTTCATACAAAAACATCGCAAAAAAAGTGTAAAATGTTTAGTTGTCTATCTCAAGCTAAATACAACACTACAAATTGGTACTTCTAGCATAAATAGTGACATCATTCGTCTTTACTTTGATGCATTCGATTTCTCTGGGAGGGAATGTGAACACACCAATAGATTATTCATCTTGGTATAGTTTCGCTCATTTTTGCTGTTGGGTAAAACAGGGAAAACGCTTGTCTAAATTTCTCCAAAAGTACACCGATTTTGGAACTGAAACTACGTGCTTGGTTGGTTCTAATATTCTAGTTTTTAAATATGTAAAAATCTCTGCGGGCCGGCCTCTACTTTTCATGGTGGTAATTCGCGAACGAAGCTCAAAAATCAGATATTGCATAAATTGGCAATGTTTACATATAATGTTTTCAACAACAAATGTTTCACACAAATGAAAAGTGCAAGACTTTGAAGGAATGTTATCTTCTGAGCAATATCCCGAAGACAAATCTCGCCTCTAGCTTTAATATTTTGAAAAATTGATCAACCTTCATGGAAGACTACCCGACGTAACTACAAACATGTACCTTAAATCGTGTGCATATCATCCAGATTCCGAGTACTGTACCTTTTTCATGGGAATTTGAGCAATCCAAAATCCTCCGACGATACACCATGTCTGTCATTCGAAACATGTTAAAGTTGGCTGATCTACACGAAACTATCGTGACATCGGGCATTTGTCAGAAACATGTACGTTATCACGATGGTGTGACGCTGGATTTCTCCATGAAGTTTCCATCAGGTTGCTCCAAAGAAGACGAGAAATGGACGTTTTTCGATATTTCAGCAGATTTTCGCGCATTCTGAAGTAAAAGCAAACAAAAAAAGTGAGGAAAACCTTGACTGAAATTTCGTAAACACTGAAAGTGAGAGTATAAATCATAACTTGGAGAAATTTAGACAAACGTTTTCCCTGTTTTACCCAACAGCAAAAATGAGAGAAACTATACCAAGATAAATAATTTACTGGTGTGTTCACATTCACTCCCAGAGAAAATCGAATGCATCAAAGTAAAGACGAATGATGTCACTATTTCTGCTAGAAGTACCAATCTGTAATGTTGTATTTAGGTTGAGATAGAGAAACAAACACTTTACACTTTTTTTTGCGATGTTTTTGTATGAAAATGAGGCCTCAGGCCTCGAACAAGCAGCCGTTGTTCCCATGGCAACAAAAGTGCTGCAACCTTTAAAAAGGGCATTTTTGTGATTCCTCCCTGAGTGCCTAACTGCGCGCAAAACTTGAAGGGGGTTTGAAAATTTTCATTTCCCAAGGTGTTTGATTCTTACAGAGACTCGTTCTTAATCTTCGAGGATTTACCTCTGTTCTGTTTTAAAATTTCACGGAAAGTCAAATTGTAAGTGAATGCAGATGTGTATTTTGGAGCTGTCAGTCTGTTTGATTGTTTTCTGCCACGATGTGTGTAAATCTGTCTTTCCTCCACCGAAAAGCTGAAATCAGTGAGACTCTCTCCAGCTTGACACAAAGGGATTTAATGCGACTTTTCATCGAATTCCTTCGGTTTTTGTCGTGAAGTTTACGGTAGAAATTTCCAAATTCAACAACTTGCAAAGAATAGGTGAAAGTGTATTTTTAGGCCAGAAGAACTTAAAACTTCGGTCAACGTATCACAAACGAACAAATTGTGTGGAAGAATTAAGAATGAAAGAGAGTCACATTCATCAACGTAATTGTTAATAATAATAATAATAATAATTTAATATTCATATTGCGCAAATTAACATGTGGATATGATCAAATGCGCATCACAACACTTTTCGGGGGACTTTGGCCGGACTGCATCAGCAGTTTACAAACAATCGAAGGAAACTTATTTGAAGATGCCCCCTCCCCCCAATTCCCAGTAAACAGGCCAGACCACATCACAGTAATCTCGTGAGTGGGTTCTTTAACGTCCCCTGCCTAACCAAATTAACTAATTACTAGATCCAGGCGACGGGACCTACGGTTTATTCGTCCTTATCCGAGAAGACTAGAATGTCTATCTATTTCTTGATATTTTAGAAAGGTAGCGCATTCTCCTTAGTTATTTTAAGACCTTGAGTGTTGGTCTGGCCGGGGCTCGAACCATCGACCTCGACCTCCCGCACAACAGTCCAGCGCTCTAACCAATTGAGTTAGCCGGGAGGCGAGGTTAGCTGCAACTACCTCTTGTTTTGACTTTCTGAGTTACTATTTGTGAAAGATCCTTAAATAACTTGATTTTAGGCCACGTTTCAATCTTTTTAAAAACTAATTTAGCACCACAAAATCTACTTCGAAATCAATTTTTGCGGAAAGCATAAGTGATTTGAGAGCGAGAGAGAAGAAAGAATTAATGTTGTCTATCATTAAAAGGTCGTGGCCGATTTTTTCGCTTATACAGTCTGCCCAGCTGGCAAAATGAAATGTATTTGTCAAAAATTGCAACGAAGCTTGAAATGTTCTGCAAAGTCACTCAAGCGACTCAAGCTGTGAGCGGGCCGGATGGGAGAATACTTCCCGCTCTCGGAACCAATCAGATCGCAGGATTTATAGAATACCGCCCACTCCCGAGCTGAGAGAAAAATTATAAAGTTTGATATGCGTTTTCGCGAACATTTTTTGGTAAGTATGATAGTGTCTCGTAGAGGATATCATTGCAGGACTCAAATGTTGTCATCTTTACTTGAGCTCCCTCCATGAGGTCGTCCAGTTCATATTCATCGAGCCAGATATAGCGTTGAAGTTCTTAATTTTTTTCCTTTTTTTCTTGGTCTCAGGGAGAAAGAAACAGCTAAACCCCAAATAAAAATTTGCCAAATTTTATCCATTTTCAATATTCTTTATTACTTTCCGAGTACTGTAAAAGCTTTGGGCTTGAAATGTTTTCAAATTGTGCAAACACCAAAAATGTGACGTTACAACTTTGTTTAGGTATTTTCTGACCAGTTGGCCTATGAGAGCGCGTGCACTATCTCAGTTATTTTATAAAAGCGATTTTAAAGCTAGTCAACACAATGCTTTTTAATACAGTAAAAAGAGGATGATCTTCTTTTCAGCTGTTTGATGGTAATCAAGACACCGACAGCAGTGTATATCATAAGTTGGCAAGGCAAATTACGGCACGTTACATCCGGTTCATTCCGGTGGAATGGCGAAATCACATCTCTATGAGAGTGGAAATCTATGGTTGTGAAGGTATCATATCGAGGTCTATCTCATTTGCTGTTTCAGCAGTTGTATAAATTTCAACTTTTTTCATATAAACTTAAACTTTTAAAGTGCTATTCACATCAGCTTTTGTAAAATAATTCATGATACAAACTCAATGATATAACATTAAAGTTGAAATATTTTTGATAAAAGATAATGGCTAACAATATACCTCCAACTGCATATTACATGTAGTTTGAAATAAGAACAAATACTTGAATAAACCAATGCATGAAGGGCAGCTCTTAAAGACCCCGCATCTCTAGCTACTTCTGTCAAGTCCCTCTTAAGGTGGCTGAGCACAGTTTTGATAGGTTTCAAGTGTGTGTCATTCATTAAGTATCTTTATGGTAGAAGTGAAAGTGCCGATCTTCTTGTCGCGAAGAATGCGAGGTTCGGCCTGTCTGTTGTTGTTTTCCTTGTTCTCGGTTTCGTTTAGAGAAATTGAGCGTCGTTTGCAAGTTCACTTTTGGCTGCCTCGGTCTGAGATTGCTTTGCGCTTCGCCGCTTTTACTTGGCCCGATAGATAGGTGTGGTTGAGTTGTTTTTCCTTTTTCGTTGTAGCGTTTGTGTTTGCTTGCTATTCCTTCAGTCTCACCACAGTAGGCGGATCTTGAAAACAGCACTGACAGAAGGGTAATTAGCAGAATTCTGAAAAATAAATGATTGTTGCGGCTCTCCTCTTGGCCACAGTAGGTCACGCCATCGTTGCGAATCGACTCGACCGATTCCACGACTTTTTTTCCATAGTTAAACGTAGTTGGACGCATCTTGATTAACTCGTTTTCCAACTTCTAATAAGAGGATCACGTTGAAAAGCCGACGAAAACACAAGAAAAACTTTTCACCGCGATGTTTGTTTGTGTGAATTAAAACCCGCGCCGTCACGCGAACTGCAGCTAACCGCACGCAAACTGTGTTCAACCACCTTAAGCTCGTTCCCTAAAAGGCCTTCCATCGAGTCAACACTTAGTAAACTCACACTTCATCCATAAGGTAAGAAAATAGAGGACTAAAATATCTAAGAAATCAAGTAAAGCAAATCAAAGATTGGTTAGTTTATCCCCTCAAAGAGATACAGCAACCCATTCGTATTTTCTTCTTATTCTGCTTCTTTTCTCTCATTGTCCCTTTCTTTAAAATAAAATCAAGGATGCTTAGCACCGCTTGGTTTGGAGGATGGAACAATTACTGATATCCAGGTTAGTTCTTTTTTGCGACTGGATGACAATTATTCACCAAGTCAGACCAGATTCAATTTTAAAGAAGAAAGAAATATGGCTGGTGGATGATCAGCTCAGTTAAACGATAAAAACCCATGGCTGCAGGTAGATCTTGGCAGATATACTAGAGTGACGCGTGTGGCGAATCAAGGGTTGAATGCCAGCAACGAGTGGGTGACCAAGTACAAGTTACAGTACAGTGACGATGGAAAAAACTTCCATTATTACAAGCAACAGGGTGACAACAAATGGACGGTATGTCTAAGTTAGATTTCCCATCCGTGTGATAGACAAGAGCAATATCCAAAGCCGCTCTAGGCGACAACTCTTTCAATCCAATTTCTTTTCAACAATTGAAATCATTTGGAAAAATGCATAATGATATTTTTTACTTTCTTGAAATTAAAAGGTAAGGGCAGTGTATGTCAGTTTTACAGGCCCTCCAAAAATTCAGTTGATCTATGATACTTATACAATTTACAGGTGCTGAATGGGAATAAAGGAAGTGATACCATTGTATATAATAATCTGAATCCTCCAAACACAGCACGGTTTATACGGTTTATACCAACCGGCTGGCACAATAAGATCTCCATGAGAACAGAGATATATGGCTGTCCACGTATGGCAATTATAAATGTAGAGTTTAGAATTTAGTGGCCAAAAAATGTAAAAAATAAATCAATTAGATTGATTGCGAAGCGTAATGGGACTTCAAAGACAGTTGTGAAAATTTTAGGGACAGTCTTTCAGCCACAGACATTTTTTCCCGATATACCAGCAAGTCAGAGGGGCCTTAGCATCGCAGCATCATTTTTCGTGCATCATTAATCGGGGACTTTTGAGAGAATTAGATAAACAGTACGATGAGATGAATGCGTGGGCCATAATTTTGGTATTTTATTGACGTAATTTTGACCAAAATCAACCAATCCTTTGGGTCAATACAATAGTTTATCACAGGAAGCTATTTTAAAAGAAAGAATCTGCATCTGACACATATCTCTTAACAACAAATGCAGCATGTATGACTGCCCTGGGATGGAAAGTCAGGCAATAGAAGATGCTCAGATTAGTGCCTCTTCGCAACTGGATGGTAACCATTCTGTAATACAGGGAAGACTGCACCTTAAGAGAAATGATCAAAAGCAGGGTGGCTGGTCGGCACTCACAAATGATCTTAATCAGTGGTTACAAGTGGATCTTAATACATTTGCACGGATAACGGTAATAGCGACTCAGGGAAGACATGGATTCAAAGAATGGGTCACCAAATACAGTTTCCAGTACAGCAATGATGGTGTGACCTTCACTCTCTACAAGGAATCTGACAGCAGCTCAGGAAAGATGTGTTAACAATTTCACAGGTAAAACCTCACTTGATAGCTCTACTTTATAGGGTTTACTTCAAGAAATCATTAAAAAGCAAATCGTTTAAAAACAGATTCAAGGATCTCACCTTAGCTTATTAAAATACGAGGGATCTCTTCCCTCATCTTATGAATTCTGCACCACCGCTGTGTGCATTCAAGCGTCTTGAAAGGAGAAATAGATGAAACGATGTTTGAATCTTAGAATACTTCTTGAAAATCTGTGATCGTTATACTTAGGTGTTTGATGGAAATCAAGATCCAGATACCGTCGTATACAACAATCTGATAACACCATAACAGCTCGATATATACGGCTGATACCAAAGACTTGGAACAACCACATCTCCATGAGGATGGAATTGTATGGCTGCCCAGGTAGTTTGAAATCATTATGTTAGTGACTGACAATTTTTCGAACTTAATCCGCCATCGGCAAATCCATTTTTTGAGCATTAAAAGAGTAGTTCAAGTGACATGCTGATGACTGGGCAGTGTAAAAAGGGCAGTTTTTTCATGCCTGTGTTAAGTCATTCATACGTACTATTGTATTGACTCATGGGCTACTTTTTCATGAATAAGGCGACTGTCATGTTTTTACTCATAAATAGATTCAAACGATGGGTATTTTAAACAACAAATATATATGAAATACATATATATGAACTGCGGTTATGAAACGTATATGTGCACGATCCTTCACTGCGAAGGATCGTGCACATATACGATGGGTATTTTGTTCCTAACAATTTTTCACAGCTCTGATGAATGGGTAAGGGAAGTTTGTGTCACCCAACTCTGTGCGTAATCATATTCGTGAATGCGTGATCTAGTTCGGACTCCCGCTTCGCAATCATCCAACTTCCATAGGCCGCTTTTATTATTACAGAAAAAAAATCGAGCTGTTGTTGATCCTACTACCATTAGTCTTAAGAGGGTTTTCTGAAAAGGTCGTTTTCGATTTTAATCTAGGATGTGTGTCACCGTATGGCATGAAAAATCGCAAAATTTCTGATTCCCAAATTAAGTCGTCTTCTCAACTGGACGAAAATCTTTCTGCAAAGCATTCCAGGTTACATTCAAAAGCAAACAGAGAAAATGGAGGAAGCTGGTCAGCACTTAAAAATGACGTAAAGCAATGGCTTCAGGTGGACCTCGGTAGTTACATACGGGTGACGGACATAGCTACTCAGGGAAGAAATGGGCACGACGAGTGGGTGACAAAGTTCAGGCTGCAATGCGGCGAAGATGAAGATATCTTTCATTTCTTTGAGGATCCAGAAGATTTTGCTGCGATGGTATGCATCGTGAAGCGGTTTTCCCACATTTCAGTTATAAAATGTCTGGTATCCTTAATGGTATAGGTGGTGAAAAATATAATTTCGTTCCGTCCTTGTTATCAACGTCTTTCCAGGCTAGTTAAACATCACATTGTCAACTTTGAAGGAATCCAGGGCAAAGACATTATATTCTCAGAAAATTCTGTTTCCTTTTTGACTTCCTTATGGGAACAAGACCAATTTGTTTATGCGTAAATAGGAACACGAAAAACTTCACGAGCTCCTTAGCTCTTCCAGTTCATAAAATATGTAGGTTAGGTTTGCCTCAAAAATTCGTGATCATCTAGATTTACAAAAATCTACCAAGTGGTAAACTGCTCTCGTTAGAATGTTGCTCATTTAAAACGAACTCGTGGGGATTCTATGCAATTCACGGCTCATTGGGCATTTTCTTCTTTTGCGCTGAGAAAAGGTTGATATTCAAGAACACTTTGTTCTTTATGGCTTTTGTGTTTTTGCATCAAGGTTTTCAAAGGAAATGCAGACAGCGACACTGTTGTGTACAACGCACTGGCTCCACCAATCATAACGCGTTATATTCGATTCAAACCAGCGGAGTGGCACAATCGAATATCAATAAGGATCGAGATCTATGGCTGTCCAGGTATCTACGATAATATTTTTGTTGTGGCGACGCATTAAATACCAGGGTTTGGCTTTTGTTATAGATTTTGTACAGGTCAGAAATTGTATCTATTATTCCTAATGTTAATCATTTTTGGGCAGGCTCTCTGTGGTACTCTACATCTTGTGAAGAGCAATATTGTTATATGGAATTTAACATAGCTAACGACTAGGGGCCAATCTGTTCAGTAGCACTTTTTCTGGCGTACTGTTCGCGTATTAGCCTTCTTTTAACATTTGTACAGCGTTTGTGTGCGTTCTGTAGCGTTTGCAGTAACCACGTGGTTGTTGGAGGCCTGGAGTCGTCCATGTCCAGCGGTACTCCTCATTACTGCATGCATTGTTTCCCCATGTGCTTGCATTGCGTTCGCTCTACTATAGCGTGGCGTTGTCATCATTGAGGATAGCATCTTGGCGTTCCCTCCCTCCCATCCCCAACTGCTAGTTTTCTTGTGCAGGGGTTTATATCTGGTCATTTATATACCACCTTTTTTTATTATTTTTCATATATTTTTCTTCGTCTGAGCCTGCCTGTGGAGGGCTTGGCGTGGGGGGCTCGTGGCTGGGTTCTAGGTTGCGCAGGCCAGTCGGGTGTTCTAGCGCCTTGGGTGCGACTGCGGTTGCAGCCCCCTGGCCCCTTGGACACCTAACCTCCATTTGCGACTTGGGCGTTTAATGTAATTACAGTACACTACAGTAACAGGTAGCCATTATTTATGAAACAATGTCATCTATTTTTAACCCTCACCCTTTATTTTTTGTCCAACTAAGGTTGCATAAATCCTCTTGGAATGGCATATGGATCAATATCTGATATTCACATAACAGCATCATCACAATTGGATGGCAATCACTCCGCATCACAGGCCAGGTTACATTTCCAAGCCGATGGTTACAAAGTTGGGGGTTGGTCAGCTCTCTCAAATGACCGTAACCAATGGCTTCAAGTGGATTTTGGTAAGTACACAACAGTGACGCGCTTGGCGACTCGGGGGGTGGATGGCTACAATCAGTGGGTTACCAAATACATGTTACAATACAGTGACGATGGAATAAACTTCCACCTCTACAAGGAAGCCAAGTCCAGTTCTGCAAAGGTACCAGATGTCCTAGGCTTCTATTTTCTATGCTAAGTTACAGACTTTTGCCAACAGATGTCGTGCGGATTACGCTAGCTGTTGCTTCATCAAAAAATGCAGTACCGACAAGTATTTTGAATTAAAAGAAATCCTCTCTCCTTTCCTTAATCTATTCACTGGTCTTTCCATCCCACCCCTCCACTCACTCCATCTATTCCAATTTCTCTCCCACTCCTCCCTTCCTCCGTGCATCACTCCATAAACCCCTCTCTTCATTTATCCTTCCATTAATCTATCCATTCATCCTTTCATTCATCTAACCGTCCGTCCATTCATTCGTTCAATCTATCGATCTATTCATGCACTGTAACCTGATAAGTGTTAATCAGTCAATTGTTGAGCTATACTTAAATTATTGCAACATTGTATGGGATAACATCAGTGCCGCCTCACTTCAATCAATCAATCAATCAATCCTTTATTTAAACACGTGACACCTAGGAGTACAGAAGTTCTCGTTAAAACTTGTACGTGTATGTACAATTAGAAATAAAACATAATTTCTGTAAGAATACAAATAATAAGTAGATCTATTAAATAACTAAAAACAGGATCGAAGATCATGGACAAGAGCTATCAATTAAAAGTTACAATATTAACAATAACGATATTTACAATCACTACCACTAAGCCATGTGGGCTTTAAGAGAACGCTTGAATGAAACAATATCTTGAGATTCTCTGAGTCTAGGGGGTAGCGCATTCCAAAGTTTACTAGCTAAAAATGAAAAAGACCGATGTAAAAACTCAAGATTAAAAGGAGGTAAATCTAGCCTTGTACTGAGCCCGCGTAAACTATACGGTACATTTCTAAAATGAAAAAAATCACTTATATAAGGAGCCCCCTTATCATACAAGCACTTATATAACATAACTAACGATTGGAATTGCCTACGATTCTCCAAAGACTTAATGTCGGCCAACTTGAGGAGGAAGTCGTATGACACAGACTTCGAGAAGCCTAATATAGTTCTTAATATAAAGTAATTAGTTGTCTCTATTTTAGTAGTCTCCGCGTTACCTACTCCCAGTAAAAGGGGACTGCAGTACTCAAGATGAGGGAGAACATAGGCCTTATATAAACGAACTAACACGTCCTTTGAAATAAACTTACGTATTCTCCGCAAAGCCGAAGCCTTTGCGCATCCCTTATTCAGCTGTTGCTTTATGTGCGCTTTAAATGTTAATTTGCTATCTAGGACCACCCCAAGGATTTTGAGTGTGTCCTTTGTATGGACATTAGAATCATTAAGATGGAAATCATACTGGTATGAAGACGGGCCAATAGCGATAGCTTGCGTTTTGGCGGCATTAATCTGTAAAAAATTCATTGAGAACCATCTCGATAGAACGCTCAGATCAGAGTTAATTATATACTGCAATACTGTTGGTGAGACATCAGAGGCGTAATGAGTAGTGTCGTCAGCGTATAGCCTCAAGGACGTATTAGTAATAAAATAATTAAGATCATTAACATACAAATTAAATAAGAGTGGACCCAACAGGGACCCCTGTGGTACACCAGTTTTAACGGTTCTCCACGAAGAATATACACCATCAAGTTTGACTCTCTGTCTCCGTCCAGTAAGGTAAGCGGTCATAGTTTCCAGCGCATCATGCGTAAAACCATATGCCTTTAATTTAGCTAGGAGAAGCGGGTGACAAACAGAGTCAAAAGCTTTACTTAAGTNTTTTTTCAGTCACCCTTGTCGGTTCACTAATTTGGTTTTGCAAACAGAACCTATCACAAAGGTCCATGAGTGAGTTATCCTCAGCATCAACACCATGCTCCCCAACAAGCAAGTCGATATTAAAATCACCAATCAATAATATTTCCTGACGGCTTGTATACATAAGTTCAATAGCTGATGTAAGCGACGACAAGAAATCAGTAATTTTACAGAATTTAGGTGATCTGTAGCACGCACACACTATAAAGCGAGCCTTTTTAGAATCCATGACATCAAGACATAATGATTCGACTGATTCGGGCTCCAGATTACGTCGTCGACAGACAGGAATATCTTCCCGTACAAAAGCTATCAAGCCACCAGCTCCTTTCTTGCGATCACGTCGAATAGTGCGATATCCCGGTTGTTGGAGAAAACTATCTGAGGTTGTACCATCGAGTTTTGTCTCCGAAATAAAGAAAATGTCAAATAGGCACTTGTTAAGAATATTCTTGACCTCGTCAAGCTTATTTTGTAAAGAGTTGATGTTCAAATGACCTATTTTCAGATTGGATTTGTAGTAACCGTTGACGTTCCTAAAAAACCAGTCAACAGAGTCTCCTGAATGTTCCTCCGCAGTCTCAAAAACCTCGCCAGTGGAGTTTGAATCGCATGCCGCCGAAGGTGAGAGATCATCAAAGAATGATTTTGTAATCTTATGAAGACTTAAAGTCTTCATAAGATTACAAAATCTTGCCGCACACGTAATCACTTTTTACTATCGGTTATTTACAAAGGGTGTGGAGGCGTGGTGGCGTCATGGTTAGTTCGCTCGACTCCGGATCGAGTGGTCCGGGTTCGAGTCCCGGCCGGGACATTGTGATGTGTTCTTAGAAAAAGACACTTTACTCTCCCAGTCCTTCTCTTCACCCAGGTGTATAAATGGGTACCGGCAATTTAATGCTTGGGGTAACGCTGCGATGGACTAGCATCCCATCCGGGGGGGAGTAGAAATACTCCTAGTCGCTTCATGCTACAGAGACCGGAGTTAAGCATCGGCCTAATGGGCCACTAGGCACGTAAACAGACTTTACCTTTACCTATTTACAAAGGAATTATTTAGTATGCTCGGCTTTTCATATATCAAGGAAAAGAGAGAACAACAAAAAGCTCTTATGATGTTTAAAATTATGAATAATATAACCCCAGCCCAGTTACAAGATATATCCTCGATTAATATCGGAAAATCGGTGTATAGTTTCAGAACTTCCAATGGGAATCTAGCTTTACTGGTTTCTAAAACAGACTAGTGCCGCCCAATCCATCCATCAATCTCTCCATCCGTCTACGGATACATTTATCCCTCTCTCTATCTCTCCATTAATTCTTTTATCCATCCATCCTACCTTCCTTCCCATCCATTTGCTCAATCTATCGATCCACAGTTTATATGTTGGTTGATCTCACCATTCACGCATCAGAAAGCATTTATCTTCTTCACGTATTTATATTCTCAACATCAGCTAGACTCCAGGTCCGATTGAGGGAACCTAAGTAGGGTTCAAACATTTACCCCAATTTTGTATTTCTGTACATTCTGCTCTTTATGTTGCCTGGGTGTTCGATGGAAATAAAGACCGAGAGACTGTTGTTTATAACGTGTTGAGCTCACCAATAACCACACGCTACATCCGATTGAAGCCGGTGGCCTGGAACGACCACATATCGATGAGAATAGAAATCTACGGCTGTCCAGGTACATCTCCCTCTTTAATCATTCTATCATTCATTTTCTTTTTTCAGAAAAAGTGTCTTAAATGACAGATAACGACTTATTAGCTATCATTGTATAGTGTGTTTAGTCTTAATTCGTGCAAATTTCAGTAAGGAAAACAAAAGTATCACGCCGCACTTAAACCTTAACTGTACAAAGGGAACTACACCTTTCACTTTCTTGTCCTTTTTAAATACAAACAGGTTGTGCAGCACCCCTTGGCATGGATAGCGGAGCAATCACCGATGCACAGATAAGTGCTTCTTCACAGTGGAAGGATAACCATGCGGCCAGGCAAGGAAGGTTGCATTATAAGAGAGTTTTTGGCACCTCCGGTAGTTGGTCATCACTTAGAAATGATTTAAACCAATGGTTTCAAGTGGATCTTGGTCAATACACTACAATAACTGGTATAGCGATCCAAGGCAGAAATCATCCAAGGATAGACCAGTACGTGACAGCATATAAGTTACAGTATAGTGACTATGGAGTATCTTTTCAGTTTTTCAAGGAGACGCCACTCGAAGCTGAGAAGGTATACCTTTATAGTTACATTGATTCTATTTTTAAGGCATCGTTAGTGATCAGAACTAAACGTTAAATTTAGAAATTGTGAGGGAATAGACAAAGTAACCGAAAATGGGTTGTTCAAAGTTGGATTAGGATAACCTAGGGTTAGTGCGAGATATGATTTGTGAACTGAAAGCTTAAAAATAAAATTCAGTACAGATTTTTTTGTCTACAATTTGGAAATTGGATGGTCGGAAAAGAATAAAGAAAATTATCCCCAAAAGGCTTTCGAACAAAGTAATAAATAAACCTCAGATAAAAATATAACCCTTGGTTAGCGTTAATCGGCCTTCGAACAACTGGGCCCTAGAAGCTTTATAGTTTGGGGGGGAAGGGTGAGATCTTTGGAAATGTTCTAGTAAAGAGCTCACTTCTCACCTATCTCAATAATTTTAAATAGGGTGTCAGCGACATAATTTGTACTTCCAGGGATGTACTGAACTTAAAAGTTATACTAGTGAAGACGTTCTGCCCATCTGTATAAGCGCACAGGTTTATGACCGGAGCCCCTTGTACTGAGTAGTGCTTGTAGGGCCACATGATCCGTTCGTAAGAGAAATTTCCGACCAAACAGGAAATTATGGCAATGTTCGCAAGCGCAAATACATGCTAGGGCTTCCCGTTCACCTGTTGAATACTTCCGTTCAATTTCAGACAACGTCTTCGATGCGAAAGCCACGGAGTACTCTTGGCCATCGATCAGCTGTGAAAGAACGGCACCGAGGGCAACACCCGAAGCATCTGCTGAGACAACGGTGAGCACATCTGAGTTGAAGTGCGCCAAGATAGGGGGAGGTGCAATCTTCCGTTTAAGGGTGGCAAACGCTGTCGATTGTGCCTCTCTCCAAACCCAAGGAACATCCTTGCGAAGCAACAGGTGGAGAAGGTCAGCAAGTTGGGCTTAATTTGGAACGAACTTGAGGTAGTAATTAGTGGTAACCAGGAAAGAAGCCAGTTCCTTCGTATTCTCGGGTTCAGGGAGATCTAAAATGGCCTTTACATTTGACTCTAGAGGGCGTATTCCAACCGAAGACACGCTGTAACCGAAGAAATCAACTTGAAGCCATTGGTGAAGATCGTTCTTGCGAGCAGACCAACCCCCATTTTTACCATTAATGGCTGCTTGAATGTGCAACCTGGCCTGCTTTGGAGCATGATCATTATCCAGTTCTGAGGAGGCAGATATTTGTGCATCAGAGATTGATTTACTTTCCATGCCGAGCGGGACAACACAGCCTGAGTATGTCGAAAGAAACTAATCGTAGGTATAGGAACATTAAAGGTTGAAAAAGGCTTAGTAATGATATTAGAATCCATACAACTCAGTGTTAACATTTGGAAAAGCTTTGAAAATGCTCTTTTATGCCATGTCCCATTTCACCTATCAAACTGAAAGTTGGGGCCTTACCTTCAGAAGGTAGTTATTTTCTAACGAACTATTGCACACCAGGACCTGCAATTTTTAACTGGACGCATACTTGCGCTCACGCGGGCTTTCTGTTGGAAAGAAACTTTGTTTTTTGTGCCTGCATGGTTCTGCTTGGTTCACGATTACGTATACATACACGACGAGATTTGCGTTTATGCTTCTCTCGATTAACATTAGATAGCTCGGTTGGTATAGCACGTTTCTCGATGAAATATTCACGCGTAAATGTTCGCTCAGAATGAGATCTCTCATAAGGTTCGCGAACGGACCCGTTCCGAAAACGCTTGGCATCTTTTAGTGTGGGCCTACCACAAACAATGTGTATATTTTGTATGCGTTTTGGACGTATTATACACAGAATCTCGCCTGATTTTACACTGCAAGAATTTGTCTTCCTCCGCCATTACACCATGCCATATGCTCATCAGTCAAAACGTCGCGCATGCGTAAGAATAAAATATTCAGGTATGCGTGTTAAAAACTTGATTGCGATTTGCGACTAAACCCAATAAAAACGAAACCAGAGTTTCAACTCGGGCGTTTCCTTTGGAACAAAGTGAGTTGTTAAAGGTAACTAAAACGCCGAATCAAACCTTGAAAAGCTAACAAGTTAACTTATCTTTCTCGACGTCACGATGACAACAGGTCATCCATGTTCACCAGAAAAGAACATTTATTTCTATTTCACTCGATTACAGGCCAAACCTTAAGCGAACCACACTCTCCGAGGAATGAAAAAAAACTTAATACGAACAGAATATTAAACTATAACTAATATATACGAAAATGGTTGATCGCAAATGGCACAAAAGGCTCACGTAGTGCAAAGAATTCAAATGAACGCCATGATCCTACTGATTAACGCGATTGTCTCCTGTTCACACACTAATTAGCGCAATTGTCTCCTGCTCAATCCATACGCATTTTGTGAGTTCACCTTCATCGTTTAGGTATTTTTTACCACTTTCCTTGTTAGCAGTTCCAATACTGTTTGTATAATCCAAGTAAGACATAAATGAAAACAAATGCATTTCCTAATAATGGTAGACCGCGAGCTGTCTCTCCTTGACTCGCGCGACGGACCTCCTCCCCGAAAAGGATCGGAGGGACTGCTCGTTGTCTAAATAATGATATTGGTGATGTAAATAACAAAGTGATTATGATAATAACAGTGATCCAGATGATGATAACAAAACATGATGATATCAATGATAATAATAATAATAATAATAATAATAATAATAATGATAATGATAATAATAAGGACTATGAAGTTAAACCTGGACAGCCATAGATCTCAACCCTCATGGATATGTGTCGGTTCCAACTCACTGGTCTAATTCGTATAAAGCGTGCTCTGATTGCCTGGCGTATCTCATTGTAAACGACTGTCTTTATTTCCACGGAAAACCCTCAGTCGTCTGGTGGTCGCTAAGCCAAGTGCTGAGGACTCGCTTGATTCTGACGTGAACTGCATTTTGGAAGTAATCCTCTCATCCCTTGTCACTCCTAACGAGATCCTGGAAGCCTCCAGAGACGATCTAGTCCTCCAACGGGTTGCTGAGTACATTGGGAACGGTTGGCCAAGGAAAGTCGCAAAGGAATGCACCCCCTACTTTCAGCTTCGATCTGAACTCACTATTTTATAATTACTGCTGCGTTGCCCGTGGAGCATGTGCTGTAACTCCCGAGTCCTTACAAGCGCGAGTACTTCGCATGGCTCATGATGGTCATCCCGGTATCGTACGCATGAAGCAGAGATGTAGAGAGGCAGTTTGGTGGCCGAAGATGAACACTCATGTGGAACAGTTAGTCCTTCAGTGTGAAGCTTGCGCACGAAGCGGAAAGTCAGTCAAGCCTGTCCAACCTCCTTTACAACCCATTCCATGGCCCGCTCGCCCATGGCAACATCTTCAGATAGATATTGCAGGAGAAGTCTTTGCCGCTCCGTCCTCGCATAAGTATATGATTGTTGCCCAAGATCTTCATTCCAAGTGGTCTGAAGTGTCCTGCAGTAGTTCCGTCACTTCCGGTACGGTTATAAAGACACTACAAGAATTGTTCACCAGATAGGGATTACCAGAAACTGTCACTACTGACAATGGATCCCAATGCACATCTTCCGAGTTTACTGAGTTCTTGCGTTGTCAAGGGGTTGAACATTGCGTTACCTTTCTCTACAATTCTCAAAGCAACGGTGGGGTGGAACGGTTCAATAGGACCACGAAGGAGGGAATCCAGGCATCCATGGCAGAAGGAAAATCGTTCGCCGAAGCGGTTCGAACGACACTCTGCAACTATCGTGCTACTAAACATGCTCTCACCGGAACATCTCCAGCGGAGTTAATAATTTGCAGAAAGCTTATCTTGCCGTTGGATAATTTAAAGCTCCCTCAAGCGTCTACACACGTGGCTACCCCTCCGCAGGCCGAGGATGTTGCCACTAATCAGAAAGCAATGAAATCGTACTTGGATACTAAACGCAAAGCCAAGCTTCCTAAGTTCGATGTTGGTCATTGCGCTAGAGTGAAAAAACCAGTTCGCGGTCACAAATTGAGGCCCGTGCTTACTGAACCATTAGAAATCGTGAAGCGCATTGGTCCCTCAACCTTTCAGCTACGAGATGGTACCAAATGGAATTCTCGTAGGTTGGTTCATGTATTCAAGGTTCCGGCTCCTAGTCCCGAAACCGGTAGCTTCATCCCTGACGCTCCGTGTAGCATCGAGCCTGATCAGAATCTGGATCAACCTCAGACGAACCATGATTTTATCAGTCCTTGCCTGATCTGGAGCAAGACAATTCATGTAGTGCTGTTACGCGTCCCCAACATGACCGACGTCTTCCCGTTAGACTTAGAGATTAATGTTGGAACTTAGCTTTTCTGATAAGGAGGGAAAATGTAGCATAGCTGTCTGAAGTGTCTGTTGAATGTGTTACGCACATACCTGTCAATTTTATGCGCTCTAAATAGTTATCAATGCTCGTAATTAGGTATGCTAATGTAGATTATATTTAAGACGTGCACTGTAGTTTTCATTAAAATGTATTTTGCAAATTTTGAGTGAACATTAAACACGAAGGCGCGCTATAAAAGGAGAGCTGCCTCTGGGGTAACAATGGTGAAAGGAACAAATGCCGGTAGACGAACAAAAGGAGCTAATAAGACATCAATTGTTTACTTCCACCAGCATTGTGGCAATGATGTGACGTCCGAACCACCTGTAATTGTAGGAGTTTATCGCATAGAGGACATCGAGGTACTAAATCTGACACCAGACCCGTATAATTGTGATTCCAATACGATTTAATCTGATACCAAACACGTCAAACTAAAACACAAACAAGAAAACCTAGTCTAAGCGACATTACAAGGAGCTAAACTAAAACAATAATTATTACATAACAACACAAAGGTCGAGCGCATAAACCCTAACAATAATCAATCATAATAATAAACGAAAACAACAAGGTGAGAGAAAAATACGCTTACCGATTGTCCTCTCTGTACGCCTCATTAACCAGAAGTCGCAAATGATCGCAGATAACTTTATCGCAAATAACTCTATCGCACAAAACTCGCATCGACTCTCTTTTTAGCGACAGCGCACGAGGCCACAACGCACGAGGCCACAACGCACGAGGTCGCAATAATGTCTCACTAAAACTTAATATTTAAGGGGTACGATACAAAAAAAAATGCAATTTTTGTTGAAAATGAGTCTATTTTTTTTCCATTCGATTTCACTTCTAAAGGCTTTTGTTTAATAGCCCCAAATGTCTTTTTGTGAATAATTTGTCAGGAAATAGTAATAAAATGCAATTTCTAAGGCACTGTTGTTCCGTTGCCATGGAAACGCATTTTTAAATGCGTCCTTTTAGGGCCTAAAAGTGCGATTTCCTCCCAGATCAAAGCAAGCTGATTGCGTCTTGAGTAAGCTATTGGGAGACTGGGGCCCAACAATGACTTTCAGCCTCGTTTTGATATATTTCGGTGAACAGCCGTTATTATCAATCATTCAGTTGTGAATTTTCGCAAGTGAGAGAGCTTCAATCATCAAAATGCCGAAATTTTCGTCTCAGAGACGCAAGAAGCGCAAATTTTATGGAAATCGCTTTTCAAATAGTCCAAGAATTAACGAAGAAGAGTCGATTGTTGTCGAAAGCGCTTCGAGTGGGATACGTGAATCCACAGACGGCATTTCACATGATCAGAGCGAAGCGAAGGAATCTTCGGCTTCGTATCGAAAGCTTCAATCAACTTCCCAAGAAGACAAACCCAAGCCTAAGCTGATCAAGGTAGATAAAGAGGAAACCAGTCCATCCATTACA